TTCTTGCACGGGAAGGACCGCCCGGGCCATGACACTTGGTTTTCAGACAAGAATTCCAGGAATTTGGGTGGTACCTATCCCGACTTCCACAAGCCGGACGGGGGTTAAGTAACCCATAGTGTCTAACGTCTTAGCCCTCTCCACTGCAATGATCTTGTTTCCTAGCTCCTCAGAAACAAATGACTCGGTGGATTTAGGTGGGTAAGCATTCCACCTCTTTGGGATAAGGCCGTCCGGGACGGAGACAAAAAACAATCGGTCTTTCCACCCCTTGATGGATGTAAGGTTCCCTTTAAAGAGGACTCGTCTCGTTCGGGCACTCACTGCCATAAACCCATCGGTCCGTTAGGGGGCGACTTTGAAGAAATGGTGGAAGAGATCCAAGTCAGACACCACATTGACATCCACACAACGACAAATGAAGCCGGTTATGACCCGGTAAGAGTTCGGCATTATTTGGGTTGGGACTACTTGGTAATGATCGAAAAAGGCCATGAAGAAGGGATGCAACGGGAATCTTAGCCTGGCCTTGACAGAATCGAAATGCACCACCACCATTCCGGGACGGTGGCGCAGCGGGTGAAGACTGGCGTGGGGACGAAAATCAACTGGGTCGGGGATTAAGGCAGGAATTTGGGCACTGAGTTTGTTGGACAGGTTTTGTCTCCGTTTCCGGATGGGCCGCAAGTCCAGATGGTGACGGGGAGCGTCGTCAGGAGGACCTTTCCTCATCACCACCATATCATCACCGGACTTGGCAACATCAGAATCGCTACTAGACGCATCGTTTGAGGAACTATCAGTCTCGGCATTTTCAGAGCCACTAGCAGAATGGGGGTTCTCGACCGCATCCTCCATGGCGGCACTAGTGCCCGCCGTATCATCAATATTCGTGTTGATCTCAGAACCCCGAGTCGGTTCAATAACCGAGGAATCAGAAGAACTAAAACTCGTCGACATTTGTGCCGAGCCTAAAAGCTAGAAGAGGGAAGAAGAAAGTAGAGGGCTGGTGGTTACCTGAGCGAAGTGCGAAATTAGGGATTTGGAAGGCAGAACACTTGAGCGAGGTTACGAAAATTTGAAAACCCGAAACCAGAGCCCAAAATCCTTATTTGTAGGCTAGAGGCGCCATTTCACAAACCAATCACAAGGTGACACGTAGCAAGGAGCGCTCCCAGGGACATGTGTCACGCAGAGGCGAAACATCAAGTAATCATGACGGTTACTGATGGAATGCAAGCAACAGTCATCAAAGAGTGCGAACTGTCACATCTAGGAACATCAAACCTAAAGAATTTCGAACCGAACGGCGGCAAACAAGCACATTTATACTTTCTTATGACCCGAGCACGCTCAGAACATCGGAAGTGGAGGACTTGTGATGGGATATTAGGGTCCGGCCCAGTATACCAGCCCAAAATATCCCTAAGGCGCAAGGGCATAGAGAAGACCAAAGAGAATCAGCGGGCCCCCGAACAGGAGTTGGATGCTAAAGGAAACACCCATTCAGCTTATCCTAACGGGGTAATTAACACTTGGATAATCAGTTTTATTCCGGGTTAATAGCTCAACAGATCTTAATGCCGACCGGGGATTCGCTCAAGTGGCAGGCTGCATTTAATGTTAGAGTGTGGAGGCCACAGATGGGAGCATGGGTGCACAAGTGGCATGAAAAGCAACCAATCATCTTGGAGCACCCCATACCCCCACCTATCCATTTCCAGTATAAATAACAACATTTATTTCATTACAAGGGGTTAGTGTTTGTTTACTCACTAACTCATCATGCATTATAGCTCTTGTGTTAGCCTTTGGACCGTAACTGCCGTTCGACCATTTCCTTGTAATTGTGCTTACTGAGTTAATACAATCAAAACTACGTGAGTGAGTTAATTAGTTTTTATATTTCTTTTATACACTCATCGCTATATCAAACGTACCCTAGATCCCAAGGTTGGTGTTGGGCCTTTGGGTCCTTCAGAACTTATATTCAACAAATATGAAAATGATATTTGCTATATATCCGAATACACAGGAGCGACTGCTTCTCTGTCTAGCGTATGATGTATGAATGCTTACGTTATAGATCTATAATTCTTAAGGTTACGGGTAGGGTTGTAAACGAATCGAATCGAGCCGAATAGTGTGATTTTGTATTTGTTTAATTTTTTTGAATACGAATCCGAATTCAAATATGAAACAAATGCTAATTTCGATTTGTATTCGTATTTGTTTAACAATACGAATAGTTAACAAATCATATATGAATATTGAATCGATTTGATAATAAGTTAAATATTAGTCAAATATCACTTTAAAATAACTTTTTCTATTCTTATGTTATAAATGCATTCTATGACGTAATATGCGTTTATAGGATTTAATTTGTGACATTTCATTTCTTTAAAATTTAATGGATCATTGCATTTTTAGGTTGTGCACTATATATACTAAAATGAATCAATTTTATGATTACTATACATAAATATATTTCAAAGTTTTGAAAATAAACACTAACTCATACATATTAGAGATTATACTTATAATGTGTGAAAAAAGTTGATGGTTGTATATATCAAAGTCAAGCGATTCTAATTTTATGTTAGATATTCAACATTATTGATAATAAAAAAGTATCATTAGATACATAGTTTATATTACAAACACATAGTGGGTAATTGATGCACATACACATACTAGATAGTTGATTTTGTTTATGTATAAACAAATATACATTTGATTTGATTATTCTTCGAATCAAATACATAATTACCTTTATTCGTATTTGAAAGATGTTTGAATCAAACATCAAATTTCTATTCGTATGTATTTTCTATATTTTCAAATTTAAATCATAATTTATGAATTTGAATCACGAATTGAATAAAAAAAATCGTTTAGAAGCCTTACTCTTTATGATACTTTTGATTTATTACAAATTGGCTTGGAAGGTATATACGTAAATGTATATATGAGCTACACTTTGAGGGTATTGCTAGCTTTTAAAAGTTATTATAGTATTTTTACTCTTATTACTACTACTACTACTATTATTAATATTATCACTATTATTAATCGAATATATTTGATTAACATTCGAATAGAATAATATACTGATATTTGTATTTGTATTTGATAACATTTCAAATCAAATATAGCATTCTTATTTGTATCTGTATTTGAAATTTTCGAATTCGAATCGTCTTATATGAATTCAAATCACGAATCGAGCATAAATTATTTGATTCGTTTACAACCCTAGTTACAGGTCTCAACCCCCAGACTTTATATGTCCGTAGGGTGAGGCGGTTTACAATATGTGTAAACTAGCTAAATGGCCTCCTAATATTAAATTGGTGTGACCTAATTAACTAATATAATCAAAATATATTTATCTACTACAATTTAAATAGTAATACTGGTGATCTTTTTCCAAATTAAAATATAATTATCTTATTAAATCATAATAAGGATAAAAGAAAAAGATAAAGTATATTTAATCATATTTTGAGGAGATAAATAACATATGCCCGTCACTCTCCATAATACTTACTCCCTCCGTAACATAAAAATGTTCCCATTTCAAAAGTAAGTGGATAAGAATAGTGAAAGCGGATATAAATTATTGAGGGTATGATGAAAATATATTGAAATAGTGTAAAGAAATGAAGGATATATTAAAAAAGGCAGTTGTAATAATATATTATTTTCAAAATTATTGAAAATATGATACGAAGATTTAAAAATAAGATATTCTTTTTTATTATGGATGAAAAAGGAAAGTAGTTGTAAATTATCGAACATAACATTTAGAAATGGGATTTTTTTTCCTGCATTTTATGATCCAACCTGATGTACACACCCTTATACACACCTTATACACAACATGTTTGTGAAGTTTTTTTTATCTGTGAACCCGGTTCACATACAATATTTTGTTTGTGCAAAAATTATCTAATCGATATTCGCAAAAAAAGCTTTTACAAACATAATTGTGTACAAAAGGGCAAATTATACCGTGCAACCGGCGCACCATGAGGATGGTGCGCCCGGTTGCAAAACGACGCAGCTTCCCTGTTTTTTTTGCTTTTGTTGTTTAAAAATGATGATAACTTTCTTATTTTTGATCCGATTTTTATAAAATTTATATCAACATTTTTTATTTTTCATGATCTTTCAAATGAGACCAATACTGCTTATGTAATGTTAAGAAATTATCGAACTATTATATTAATGAGTATTGGATTATAAGGAAAATCGAATCTGTTTGGGAGATGATAGGTTTGTGAAATAGAAGATTGAATCTGTTTGGGAGTGGATCAGTGGCCTCAGTTACATTTGATAATACATTGAGTTACATCTTTTTATAAGCAAGTTACATCTTTTTATAAGCAAGTTACATCTTTTTATAAGCAAGTTACATCTTTTTAAAAGCGAGTTACATCTTTTTAAAAACGAGTTACATATATATAAACACGAGTTGCATTTGACATGCCTGAACGCGACTTACATATATTTACACGTAAAGTTACATATTTTTACACGTAAAGTTACATATTTATACACGCGAGTTACATATTTATACACACGAGTTGCATTTGACCTGTATGAACGCGAGTTACATATTTTTTTACGTAAAGTTACATATTGTTACACGTAGAGATACATATTTATACACAAGAGTTGCATTTGGCCTGATTGAAAGTGAGTTACATATTTTAACACGTAAATTACATATTTTACACGCAAATGTTAATATGTTAAAATTACATAGGCAATATTGGTCTCATTTGAAAGATAATGAAAAATAAAAAATGTTGATATAAATTTTATAAAAATCGGATCAAAAATAAAAAAGTTATTACCATTTTTTACAAACAAAAGGAAAAAAAATATAAATCCGTATACGGTATACGGTGCTCGCCGTATACCGGTCGTACGGTATAGGCACTAGTACAAAAGTGTGTATAAAGGTGTGTACAAATATCATTTTTGTTTATTATCTCTACCCCTCTCCATAAACATTATATGGAGACCCTTCACTTCAACCCCAATTTATCGTGTTATCTCGTTTCTGTGATGTGCTTATGGCGATGGGGATGAATCGGATGATGGCTCAATATATGCTGGAAACAAACCTCAATAGTATCCATGTTATACGGCACCCCCCTAACCGATTTCCATTCAACCACGCCCATTTATCATCAATTTTTCATACTACTAGACGACTCCAATCATTTTGCCTCCATAAACCACCCTCAAAAGTCAATCTTGAATGCCTCTGCACCAACGGTAAAACTCCAAGTCCCGATGCCAACGGAGCAACAATAGCTCTACAAATGAAAGACGACAACTATCACCCGTTTGAGGTCCTCGAGAAGACTATTCTGAATACCCTTAAGGCTTTTCGTGAGCCGGCCGCTGCCGCCATTCTTGCGGGGTTACTGTTTATGTATGAGCCGAATTTTGCTTTGGCGGCATCCGGCGGGAGAGTGGGCGGGGGGTCGTTTTCTGCTCGAGGCTCCTCCTCAGCTAGGTCTTATTACTCGATGCGGACTGAGGAGCCTAGGTTTTCGTACTCCTTGCCCTATCATGCCCCTTCCCAACTTGGACTTGAAGGAGGTGGGATTTACATAGGACCTGCTGTTGGTGTTGGTTCCACTTTCTTCCTTGTTATGATGAGCTTTACCGCTTTCATTTTAGTCTCCGGTTTCCTATCTGACATGTCAGAGGGCAGTCTTCTCACTGCTTCTGCTGAGAAAACCAGTATATTTAAGCTTCAGGTACAAATGTACAATCAATACTGTAGTTTTTTGTTGACACGTAGCAAAGCTAGATTCAATTGTTCTAGTATTTAATTGAAAAATTCTTCTTGTACACACTTTACCACATATCTTACAAAACATGCCGTAAAAGTCCTCACAAATGTGTAAAAGTGGGTACAACAGTAAAGTGTGTACCAAAGTTTTTTTTCTATTTACTTACCATGCCTTATTTGTTTTGTTTATATATATACTTTGTAGTTGCGTATATATCAGAAAGGGTGACGTACCTTTTTTTGGTGAGGATTGAGGAAGTTGTATTACTGAATCAGCAATAGCAAGCAATAGCAAACAGTATCTTGTACTTCTTGATGTATCATTGTTTAGATGTTTTGGAGGCTTGCTTCTTTTGTGAAATGTAGATTATAAATGTGAGTATTTTTTAAATAGATAGCAGTTTACAGCTAAAATGATGTGAAAAGGCAGAGTTCTACTGCTGCATTCTACATGAAAGTAGATTATTCATGCCTGTTATTTACATAGAACAAAGTGGTCTAGTGACTAATTAATACTACCTTTGTTCCATAATGTAAGATGAATATAAGTTTGGTGCGGGTTTTAAGAAAATAAAAGAAAAAGTGGTTGTTTTACAATTCTAACCTCCAAAATGCATGAAAGAGAAAAGGGAAAATGGAAACTAATAATCCAACCTTTTAGCGGTCTTCTTACAATAGTCCCGCCTTTTCATTATTCATGAATAATCCAACATTTGCAACTAATCTTCATTCACCGGTCCCTGACCGATTTATGACCTGTTATTCCAAGTTATTTTTTTATCTTTGCAAAACATTATACCATAATTCTCACCTTATGATCACTCACCTTATGATCACTCACCTTATGATCACATAATGTTTTGCAAAGATAAGAAAATAATTTAGAATAACAGGTCATAAATCGGTCAAGGACCGGTGAATGAAGATGGGGTGCAAAGGTTGGATTATTCATGAATAATGAAAAGGTGGGACTATTGTAAGAAGACCGCTAAAAGGTTGGATTATTAGTTTCCATTTTCCCAAGAGAAAAACGTATTTACAAAAAAGTAAATGATGAAATGATAGATAAAGTTAGTGGAGTCCTATTAAAGAAAGTATTCATATTCTTGGGACAACCCAAAATGGATAGTGTATCTTACAAAATAGGAATGAGGGAGTACAAAGTAAGGAGTATTTAGTTTTACTTGTATTGAGACAAAGAACATTGGTTTGATCACTGGAGCTTGGGAGCTCTAATGTGGAGAAATGGGGGGCAATTTACCCTTCACAAATACTGACACGTTTTCTTATAATACATATAATTTTTCAAGGTTGGTTTATTGGGATTGGGTAGATCACTCCAAAGTGATTTGAACCGGATTGCTGTAGTGGCTGATACATCCACACCGGAAGGCATAAGTTATGTATTGATGGGTAATAATAATATTCTTTACCTGTGTTTCCCATCTCTTCGTTGTGGGATAACTTTTGTATTAGATAGTGGTGTTATGTAATCAAATACTTGCTGTATTTTTTCTCTGTCCTGGTTGCAGAAACAACTTTAGCATTGCTTCGTCATCCTCATTACTGCATCTTAGCTTATTCATCTGTAAGTAGTGCCACTATACTTTCTTTTCATTCATTACCTTTTTTTGTGCCTTCTCAAACAAGCCGAGCTGAGCCAAGCCAAGCTCAAACCAGGGCGTGCTCGAGCTCAAATAAATTTTCTATTTTCGGAATTTTTAATATTATTTTTAATACAAATAAATAATAAAGAGTACACAACATTGTACTTCATTGTTCTCATTTTATTAGTTTCTCTCTCCTTCAATAACATTTTTACTTCTTATTTTTACTATCAATTAGAATTTAAAGTATTGAAATAAATATGTATATGTATTGATAGATAATAAGGTATCCAAACTATATAGTTTAGGAGAGATTGACCCAAGAGAGAAGAAGATGATGAATAGTGTGAAATTGTGAATTTATTATGAATGAATTGATTAGGAATTAGGGTTTACAAGGGGTACTGATAATCCAGGTCTGGCCTCTAATATTGGCCTCTAATATGAAAACCTAACCTAGAATACCTGAATAGTAATAATAATAATGCACAATAATGTGAATATTATCTATCGGTGTATTCGGGCCGCTGTTGAGACCCCAATAGTTGGCAGAATAGGGGTTGAGTATAAGATACTGTACCAGGAGTTTCCCACTCTTTGAGGCGAGTACTTGAGGCGAAAGGGAGTAGAATTATGTGCTGATCTTCCATGTGATAATGCTATCAATGCAAGTGACAATCTTTGTAAAAAAATGAATTTTGTGCTTCTTCGATTAACAGAGGTGTTACGTCTCCCGCTCTTCCAGTCGCCCACTCCTTGAGACGAGTGTAGTGAGGTGAAGATTAGTAGAGTAGTGCATCTCAAGTGATGACTCGAATAGGGACTGAGGGTCGACACCTTTGTCCAAAGTCGGGAGATGTCTCGTTAAAAACCTCACGTCCTCACTAGAAAAAAATCATGAGGGAAAAAGATTCTAATGAGTGAAAAAGAGTACACTAGATACCCCCAAAATGAAGCAAAAGGGGTGAGCCATTCGGCTGCTGCATGCAGGGGCGGATGGTGTAGTGTTCAAAGGTGTTCAGTTGAACACCCAAAAATTTAATTTTTTTTTAATCAAAACGACGTTGTTTTGATGCGTTTTACAAAAAATAAAACGCAACCGTTTTGCTCATATTCATTGATTCAAACCTGCACATTCACCATTCGTTCCAAGATAGGTCTTCCACTCTTCCTCAAACTGCAATTCTTCCGCCCCTTGCCCGTTATTGAAGACCTCCGAGGCTTCGACTCCAACTCTTCAAGGCAGAGTCCAAGTGTTTAAACTCCAGATTCTCTGCCGACCGGTGAGACAGTGCTGCGGTGGCCAGACCGCCGCTAGCCCGCGAGCCCTCAGCCAGACAGGCGACAGCCCGCTCCAGCCTCTACCCTCTAGACTCCAGATAACCAGATTCTCCTCCAGGTTGTTGTCTTGTTGATTTCTTCAAGTATTTTTGATTTTTGATTTGAAGTCTTTGAATTTTGAAAGTCGGATGAGATATATGCGGACGGTGTGATGGGTGTGTCGCCAGTGTCGGTGGAGTGTTGAGTTGTTGACAGTATTGTATATAATAATAAATATATAATATATAATGGAGTATGTTTTAATTTTTAATGTAGTAGGTTTTTGATTTATAAAGATACGATTGTTGAATTATAGCATTAGGTATGATTATTATGATAATTTAAACTTTACTTTAGTTTCGAACACCCAAAATGTAAAGGCTAGATCCGCCACTGCCTGCATGCAGCTGCAACGGTCACCATCTGCTGAGGGGATGGTCGAGACCGGTCTTCGTATGTGAGTAGTTAGACATGATATGTAGTTCTAGTCATCAAATAAAGACGACTAGGACATAGGTCGAGCGACCATCCATAGTGTGATGTCCGGGCCATCAAATAAAGATGACTAAGAGATATATGACCGAGAAGACTGTATTAGCTCCATGCCATCAAATAAAGATGACTGGCCGGTATATAGTCGAGAGGCCGGTATGATGTCGTCATTTAGTTGCGCATATGTATTCAAATAAAATTGTTATAATTTCTAGAGATTATAATTCGCATTTGGATTTGGACTTAAATTATGTGGCCTCAAATTTTTAAGCTAGAGCTCCAGTTAGATTTCTCTGTTTAGTAGAGCGTGGCCAATATCTAGGACTCAAACCTACTGATTGGGATTTGGAGTTCGAATCTAATAGTTAGAGAGAAGCATACAAAACACAAAAATGTGAGTAAGTATGCATTAAGTGACATTTAGATTGAGAGCATATTAATCGCCGCACCTGTATGACGTGACCCGTTGGCGCGAGCGTTCAGCACTCTAGCGGTGTACGTGAGTGATTGGATTCTATAAGTCCGTTTTTTCAATGTCAAAAAATACACACTACTTAAAAATAATAATAATAAATTAATAATGTAGCTCAACTTGTCACTCAAGTTCGTAGTTCGAATCCGCAAGACATACATTTTTAACAGATGACTCGCCCCCGAGATCGAAGTTTGATGCTATATTATTAATATTTCTATTTTATGATTGTTTTGTAATGTTTTATATCAAATGTATTTTTGATAATAATATAAAATTGAAGAAAACTTAGCTTTGGACTAGTATTCTCCACCATAACAGATTGTGAGGTATGTCTAAATGCGACGTCTCCTGCTATTCGTCCCTGCGATGTCTCCCAGCCCAAAGGACACCCTGGAGCATCGTTGGAGTCCGGCCTGCCTTAGGGCACTTCTATGAGATGAATCCAAGAAGCTGCTGGCGATGGTCAGGGAAAAGGAGGGAGACACTTTTCATAGTGATTATCAGAATGAGCGGCGGGAGGGGGGGGGGGGGGAGTGGGGGAGAAGCCCTCATCGGACTGGACCGACTGGTCTCTGTATTGCACTATTACGGTGAAAAGTCTGAGGGGAAGGATCTACCCAAGATTGGGTGTATCAGGTTATTCAGGTATCACTGACCAGACCTCAAGCTTGATTTTTCAGAAGGGATAGAGCTCTTGCCTACCATCGGTTCCCCGGACAGACTCCATACTCAGCCTCTCGGATGAGTTTCGAGGATGAGGTGGCAAAGGACAGCCGGGACAGGTTAAGGAGACGGCCATGTGAGAGAGTAGTATGGCCTGGTTGCAGCTGCCTGAGAACCTCGTGATGCATCAGAGTTTTGATGAAGGGCTCTCGGGATTTAAAGGCGGCGGTGCGGTGTAGCTCCTACTGCTCGTGCCTTCAGCGTACCTGCTGGTCACTGGCATGGACCAGCCCTGGGTTGCTTGACCGGACTAGATCCATTAACTCCAGTCACATTTCTTGAATTTCAGACCAATTTTTGCTGAATTTTTGGATGATTTGTTAGGATATGTTTGGGAGGGATCTTACTTGATTGTGCTCAAATCTCTCAATGACAACACCAAATGATAGTAATATGGTATCCAAACTATATAATTTAGGAGAGATTGAGCCAAGAGAGAGAATTAGGTCAATTCCACTTTTGGTCCATGAGTTTTAGGTCAATTCCACATTTAGTCCACATCTTTCACTTTGTCCACTTTTGATACATAATTATTGTGTTTTCGTCCATATATGGCCCTTCCGGCATTGAATCCGATAGTTAAAATCGCCAGAAAAGGACCACAAACGGTTAAAAAACATTAGTTAAGTATCAAAAGTGGACAAAGTGAAAAACGTGGACTGAATGTGACATTGGCACAAAACTCGTAGGACCAAAAGTGGAATTAATTCCAAGAGAGAAGAAGATGATGAATAGTGTGAATGTATTATGAATGAATTGATCGAATTAGGGTTTACAAGGGCGTCTGGGCCTCTAGTATGGGCTTGGCAGACCCAGTTACATAAAAGGATTGATAATAGGAAAAGCTAATCTAGAATACCCGAATAATGATGATGATGATGATGATGATGATGTACAATAATGCGAATATTATCCATCGGTGTATCCGGACGCCTGTCTAGGCCCAATACTCGGCAGGGGTCCAGTGTAATATACTCCATGTCTTTATCAAGGTAGTCAAAGTCGAAAGGAGCACTTGAAGCGCTAGGGGCCTTCCAGCGTTGAGGCGCAAGGTGCAAATAAAGCGCTCGCCTGACTCGGGTGAAGCGCATTACTTAGTTAAAATCACATATACTATTCTATAATTACCAAATATGATGTATGTAACATCATATTGAACCAAATGCGCGTAAAAACCAGGATTCACCAAAATAAAGTCATGATTTACAAAAAATAAAACACCAAATTCAGAATTCATGGCTTTAATACTAAAACTATAAATAAAAGACGATCAAATTGGAGCCTATTTCCCCCTGTTAAACCTGTGAGCCTACATAGTACTATTACTTTATTAATAACATAGCAATATACTAGTGCTGTGAGTAACACAGAGTAATATATAGTATGATGACTATTATATACAAAGCAATATACTAATGCTGTGAGTAATATAGAGTAATACTGAGTACTATTACTTTATTATATACATAACAATATAATAGTGCTGTGAGTAATATAGAGTAATGCAGAGTATTATTAATACATTATTACGAGTAATATAGAGTATTATATACATAGTAATATACTAGTACTTTATTATATACATAGAAATATACTATAAGAGTATTTGGATGAAGAAGATTGCATGAACAAGAACACGTATCTTGTTTAGTGGTGTGAGGGAGAACTGAGTTTGCTTAAGATGATGAAGAAAACTGAAAGAACCGGCTGGTGTAGAGCAACTGAGTCAGAAGAGTGAGTAGGCTGAAGAGCCTATGATGGCTAGCGATATAACTTAGTCGCACGGTTTTAAGTTTTTACGTACTTTACTTAAAGCTTTTATGTAGGTTTAAATGGTTTTACCCTATTATTTAGATGGGCTGAGTGTTATTAAAGATATGGGCTAATTATTTTTTAAAGTTTTAAACCAAAAAAAGGTTTGTCAGCCTTTTCCGGATCAGGCGACCCAGGCGTGCGCTTCAGCGCTTCATG